CTACTTCCTTTCGTCTTCATCTTACACCCATGTCCCAAAAGAGATACAAAAGGTCCAGGCTCATCCACTTCCTGAATGCTGCCAAGGCCTGTGTTTCTGGTAACCTTGCATCACTCGGACAGTGGTTTGACAGGGTGAATGATATCCAGACTATGAAAGACCTTACCGCTGTCCTCTAATACCAGTCTGCTGACCAGACAAAGAAATGGATATACTGGGAAGAGTTTAAATGCTCATCTCAATACAAACTATGCTATTGAGAGGTTATCACCCTTATCCTCACCCCTCTTCTTTCCTCTACTTCCTCTACTTTCTTTTTGCATCTGCTTCTTTTTACTGTTTTCTAGTCTGCAAAGTCTCACTTAAGCTGAGTTTACTTCTCACCTTTAAAAAGGGGGTCTGCATACCCTCAAAACTTTGGACATGAATAAACATCATCTTGGACTTTCAGTTGGAGCAATGGCTTTTTTTTTTTTTTGGATTTGCATGGTGTCTTTGTTTAGTCAAGCAGCCACCCTTACAGAAAGGTTATATGAGGTGTGTGTGCGGTATGATGATGTCAGTTGTGACGACACATGTAGGGCGGAGTTGATGCCATATGTTCACAATGCACACATGAATGGACAAAGAAGCAATCATACACTCTCAGGAGTATTCAAACTTATATGAAGCGTTTTGTTGATTTTAACATGTGAGTAGTTTTTATTTATTTTGATAAACATTTGTATGGTTCTACACTATGTGGAGCATCTGGCTCTTTTTTATGTCTTCTTCTACAGTCCTGTGGATTGTGAGACCAAGTTTTCAGTAGGGAGAGGCTGCAAGCTCCTGGGTTCATCTGTGTTGCTGGATGGTTACATTAACCTAAGTGCTTTATGACTTTTCTGATTCAGGAGTTAATGACTTTGCACTAAGCCTCTTGTATGAAGTAAAGTGGAGGAGCAAGCAGTGTGGATTTCATTGAATTGAATCCCATTCATGTCTGCACATTGTTTTTATTTATTTATTTCAGGTACTTATATAGCACTGTCAATTTATGCAGCACTTTACATATATATTGTACATTCACATCAGTCCCTAACCCTCAAGGGGTGTACAATCTAAGGTCCCTAACTTACATTCATACACATATTAGGGCCAATTTAGACAGGAGCCAATTAACCTACTAGCATGTCTTTGGAGTGTGGGAGGAAACCCACACAAGCACAGGGAGAACATGCAAACTCTATGCAGGAAGCACCATGGTCGGGAATCAAACCCATGATCCATTTACTGCAAGGTAGATGTGCTAACCACTAAGCCACTGTGCCACCCAGATTTTTCGCACCGATATTATTATTATGGGACTTCTTTTCACTATTGTATGGTGAATGGATTTGTTTTGTTATTTGTTTGCCAGTATTGTTAGTATTGTATACAATATCTTTTTTGCATATTGCTTTATCTTCACTTTAATCTTTATCAATTGTTTTTACTGCACAAAAGCATTTTGATGATATACACATTTTGATTAGTGCAGCTAATATGTTCTATAACCATTTGTATCTAGTGGTGTGCTAGCTGGTTTTCTTTTTGATTGGACCATAGCCACAATTCCACTCTTTTTTTTTTAGTTTGATATATTGCAATTTGGTTTAGAAAAAAAATGTTTGGTGCCTCTACAACACTTACCAATGGTTCCTGTATTCTCACACCAAATGAAGTTGGGTGTATCCACCACAAAAAAAAAAATCTGTCTTTTCTCTCCTTTTTTAGGTTATCATGCTGACGTTTTCCTTTTTATTTTCAGAGGTTTCTTCTGTCTGGTTCCCGTTTCAATATCCAACCTAGTCATCCAGCAAACTAACTTGGCAGCTGATTTGCTTGCTGAACTATTAAACTAGTTTATTACAGTAATTGTTGAAGGTAATGACACTGCAAGCATTATATTATCTTTATGAAGTAAAAATTAAGTATACAAAATAATAAAGACATACAATCCTTTTTTAAAGCAGAGGCTATGGAAGCAATAAAATCATCCAATTCAAATAATTGAATCATATTTAGCATGACTTAGCTCAAAATGCAATCCCCTCCTGAGCTAGCGGCTAAATACAGCATTCCCACCTACAACACTCAGCAAAATATTAACACATAGATGAAGTTCAAGATGCTTCTCCTTTAAAAACCATACAGAGGGAAAAAGTCATCACAGCAAGCAGGGCCTCAGCCAGTTTCAGTGCTGTTTTCTTTTTGTTCATTAGTAAAGTCCAAAATGGGGACTTCCACATCCTTTTTATGCTCAGCTTCAGCCAGCATCCACATTCATTCAGGAAGTACCAACCAAATAATGTTCTTTTCACTAATGCTGAGATAGCATTGCAGTACTGCAGTGGTCCTGTAGATGTCACTCTTTTGCCACAAATTGGCATAGTAATCCTCCATGCAGGTGTTGCAACTAGAATCCTAAGGGTCCTTTAACCTATAGTTGGGGGTCACATGATCAGAACACCAATTTTTGAAGCTCTGCTGTTAACAGTTGTAGCAAAAAAGTTTTTTAACAAACCTATAATAACCTAGACAACAGATACCAGCTAACCAAATAAAAGACCTGTTGACCTAAAGCTAACACAAAGCACGTAAAATGATATTGACCAGAGTATATACAGAATATTATCACGCTTCCAATGTACAAGCTGTGATGACTTAATTCCCACAATGCACTGTAAAAAAAAAATAGCTTTTGTCACCTGTTGTCAACTCCAAAGTAGCCCCCTTGTGGAGTGACGCACTTTTCCAGGCTACTTTGCCACTACCAGAAGCATTCCTGGAATCCGTTTTCCGGAATGTTGGGCAATATCTTTGTTATGATACCTTGGATGTCCATAATATCATCAAATCTGTATCCTTTTAAGGCATTTTTTAATTAAAAGTTGTAGGATGCTAAGTCAGGAAAATAAAGTGGATGATCAAATTTTGGAATGGATTTCTGGGCCAGGAACGCATGAACACATCATGTGCAGGAGCATTGTCATGGTGGAGAATACTTGTAAGACCAGAGTCCTGGTCTTTTCTGCGAACACATTCCTGTAACCTTTTCATTTTCGACATCTGCATCAGTCCTTCGCGTTTTTGGCTCCCCACTTCTTGTGTTATTGTGGACATCCTCCTGCCCCTTCTTAAACCGTCGATGCCATTCATAAACACTTGATTTCTTAATGGAATGTTCACTATAAGCCTGTTGTAACAGAGCTAAAGTTTCACTCACATTTTTGCCAATTATCATTTTTTTTCAATTTATTAATCTATTGCTCCAGATTCCTGTCACTCATTTTCCACCAACAGCGTAACACACACGCTTATTATTTTTTCTACTACTCCGTAAAGACTGAGTCACTGGTCTGTGACCCAGGCGAGTGCAAGTTAGAACATGTCAGAACACGCTCAAATGCAAATAGCTGTGTGACTCACCACCATCGCAAGCATTCCGGGAATTACATTGTCACATCTCGTACTATTTCAATCTGACAGAAGGCCACACAATGTCCATACCTATGGCAGGCTGAAATGGATTCTGTACCATTACAAGCATTTATACACCACAGTCAATTTGCACACTCCCTGCATCACTGACTACCTTCATGGGGTTTACAGTCTAAGGTCCCTATCTCACATACACACCTATAGCAGGTCCAATATAGACAGGAGCCAATGAACCTACTCTACAGTAAGCTCATGTAGCTAACATGTCAACTCCATAGAGTCCTGTGTGTGATTTGAACACAGGACCCCAGTGCTGCAAGGGAGAAGTGCTAACCATAAGGCCACTGCGCTTCCCCACCTTTTATAATGTTACAATCCCACATACTATTAAACCCTTTTTGAGAAAATTTAGAAATTGTAAAAGGCTTCAATAGATAGGTGACAAGTGACAAAAAGGTGTGAACGCGCCTATTGAAAATAATGGTACTGTTCATCTTGAGTGCTGTTGCGCTTTAGAAATCATGCAACAAAACGCTCAGGTGTGAATGGGGGTTGAGGTTATTCATCTTATTCTCCGTATTCACTTACAGAACTTTACATTCTTTTACCAAATCAACCCCAGAGTGTGCACTGCAACAGGGCACAACGATCACAACGATCAATGACTATATATATCTGATAAATTAACATTTTTGCACAGCTCTTTATCAATATTATAAAGTGTATTTGTTTTTAAACCTGATGTATACTTGTCTATGTTTCAGAAAGTACCATCATATTGACCCTCTGAAGAAGATTTTTGTATGAATCGAAACGCGTTTTCTCTGTAATCTTTATGAGTTGTTACTGCTTACAGTGTTACACAGTATGTATGGTGGATAATACATTTTAGACAATGCTCTATGATTTATATGCTTCGTTTTAATTATTAAAAACTTTGTTTTTTTATGACATTATTAGGTGCCTAAAAAATCCCATCTATATTGCTTACTGTAGACAATACAAAATGATTTGTATCAATTTTCACAGATTTTAAATATGAAACAAGGAATTGAGTTTTTCTTTGTTTTTTTGTTTTTTGTTTTGCTCTTGTGATCTGACTTCCTGTTAGAGAATTGCTACATCCAATATCCATGGTCCAAATGTATGCAGGAACATAGCCACCCTCTCTTGCTCTTTCTTGAGATGAACATCTAACGTGACTGTCTCAATCCAAACAAACGGGAGTGAGGGAGAAAAGGAAAGGCTTGGGGCTCAAAGAGGACATTACAAGGAGGCAGAAAAACACAGGCAGAAACAATTTGATTAAAAAGAGATTACAGTGCCATTAACTTGTTCCGCACCACCCTATAGCAGAAATACTGCTACAGGGTGGCATGGGTGTGCAAAATCATATATATATATATATATATATATATATATATGTGATTTTGCAGTTCCGGGTAGGGGGCGCACCCTACCTGCGCTGCTGTTTGCGGCCTCGGCTGTCAATACCGGGTGCTGGTCGGTGATTACCCGCCAACACCCAGTGATCGCCGAGTATCTCCGACGGGGGAGAGACCTGTGTATAAACAACACAGATCTCTTCCCTGTCAGCTCCTCCTGAACACTGCTTTGTATGGCTCTGCATAGCAGAACCATTCAAAGCAGTGTGCTTACCAGGGGCGGACTGACCATTTGGAAACTCAGGCACTGCCCGAGGGCCTGGGGTCAGTAGGGGGCCCCATGAGATGCCTCTGGTACCTTTTTCATAGGATTTTTTGAGTTTGGGCAAGGACACAGGGGCCCCATGATCCCCTATTGCCCGGGGGCCCCATGAGTTGTCAGTCCGCCCCTGGCGCTTACAGTGAAGCACACACACAGCCAAAATAGTAAAACAGCACACAGTTAACCCTTTAATTGCCCCAGATGTTAACCCCTTCTTTCCCAGTGCCACTAGTACAGTGTCAGTGCTTTTTATTAGCACTGATCACTGTATTGGTGTCACTGGGGATGTCAGTGACACCAAGTTAGTTTCCCCCCCAGTGTCAGAATGCCCGCTGCAGTCCTGCTATAAGTCGCTGATTGCCACCATTACTAGTAAAAAAAAAAAAGAGAAATTCCAGTATCTATACCGCCATATGTAAATGCTATAACTTTCACATAAAGCAATTAATTTACACGTATTGAGATTTTTGTTATCAAAGACATGTAGCAGAATACATTTTGGTCTAAATTTAGGATGAAATTTTTTTTATTGGACATGTTTAATAACAAAAAGTCAAAAATATTGTTTTTTTCTTAAAAAAAAATGCACAGGCAATCAAATACCACCAAAAGAAAGCTCTATTTGTGGGGAAAAAATGATGTAATTTCATTGGGGTGCAGCGTTGCATGACCACGCAATTGTCAAAGTAATGCAGCGCCGTATCGCAAAAAATGGCCTGGTCAGGAAGGGGGGTAAATCCTCTGGAGGGCAAGTGGTTAAAGTGGAACTTCACTCTTTTAATCAACACTGACTATTTTCAATCTTTATGCTGCTAGCTTTAGTAAATAGATAAGAAACTACTGTATATCATATTTTGATTTAAACTTGTTTTAAACTTTTTTCACATTTATTTAGTTACTTCCTGGATTCTGGGCCCAGGCAAATGTCATATAGGAGAAGGATGGAGGGGAGTCTTCAGGAGAAAGGGAGGAGGGGTTTTCTCAGCTAAGCACACCCTCCTGCCTGCATGCCTGTGCTAAGGACAGATAGATTCCAGGAAGTGAATCATTTGCCCTTACTCAAGATGGGCATGGCCAGAAGTACTAGGGGTGTGTTTTTCAAAGTGATTTCTCAGCAAAATAAAGCATGGAGACATGGATAGATGGGTGAGTTTGCTTTGAACAGGGGCGGACTGACCATTTAGAAACTCGGGCACTGCCTGAGGGCCCGGGGTCAGTAGGTGGCCCCATGAGATGCCCCTGGTATCTTTTCATAGGCTTTTTTGAGTTTGGGCAAGGACACAGGGGCCCCATGATCCCCTATTGCCCGGGGGCCCCATGAGTTGTCAGTCCGCCCCTGGCTTTGAATATTAAAAAAAAACGAATTAAATAGCGTTTTTGGTATGTGGTGCTCAGGTGAAGTGTAATTCTGTTTTAAGCAGTGGATGTGTATAGATTATTTTTGAGAATAAAGATATTATTTAGTGTCACTTTAATGACTTGATTAGTTACTGATAATATTTATACACTTTTACCTCTGTGTGGTCAATGGGACAAATATCTACATCTCTGAATGTGTGACCAGCATTACTTAGCGATTGCTCAATAATGGGTTCCTTTGCACTCTATCAATTTGAAGGTTATCTTCCCCTGCTCTATTTTCAGTCATTTACCAACTAGTGTATAGCTGAGCCGCACAGAAAAATCGAAGTTATCATCTTCAGTTTATTTTAAACACACCATACTTGAAATCACAGGAAATGATACAATGAGTTCTTGCCATGGGTAATATAGTTGATTGTGGTTTTTCTTCCTTGCTATACAAAGCAAGCATGCTATCATCTCTGGAAATAACTAGGTAACAATTCAGCAGCAATTGCCCAACTTTCTGTACTGAAAGGAAGAGAAAAATGTATTGTTATGTGCTGATGGAGGTTTTACCGTGTAATGTGATCAATTGACAACCTGTTTATGTCTCACAATAAAAAGCTAGTGCTTATGGAGGGAATGCTATCTAAAATATAAAGTATTTACATGTTTTGCCTTCAATTGGATATTATTTTGTTATGCTCTAGTGCAACCTTTCCCAACCTCTTTACCCTGAGGGAACCTTTTAGTTCCAGGGGAACTCCTGCTAAAACCAGTTCATTGGGGGGTTAATGTGAACAATACATCTTACGTTGGTGGCCATTTGGAAGAATACCCCCCTCCCTTTAGTGGTGGTCAGAACCACCCTTACAGACATTGGTGTCATGTTACTGGCTCTTTCAAGTGGCATTGACCATGGAACTATGTTGGCACCAGGGGCGGACTGACAACTCATGGGGCCCCCAGGCAATAGGGGATCATGGGGCCCCTGTGTCCTTGCCCACACTCAAAGCACACCCAAAAAAGCCTATAACAAATGTACCAGGGGCATCTCATGGGGCCCCCTACTGACCCCGAGCCCTCAGGCAGTGCCCAAGTGCTCGAATGGTCAGTCTGCCCCTGGTTGGCACCATTGAGGGGGAGGTCAATCAGCCTAGCAACCTCTGGAGGAACCCTAGTTTTCCACGGAATCTTGGTTGAGTATGGCTGCTCTATTTATTTTAACTGGATATATCTGTTTCAGGCTTGTTAGATCTCATCACTGCACAATATGAAAAACCAGGAAAACATAGTTCATATGGCATACAGCTTGGGAAGCAAGAAGGCAATATAATCAGCCAGTTTGTTTTAAGTATATCTAAAGTCAACATTTTTTTCATTTTGGATAGAATAGAGGAGGGTTAAAACAGCTTTCAGGTTTTTTTTGTTGCCATTTTTCAATGACTTTATGAAGCTTTCTCTTTACGTCCTGTCCTGTAGACTCAACAGGGAGTGAGAGGATATTTTTCCAATGTGATGGAACAAGTGTCACCTTTGGAAGATTTCGCCGCTATTCCTGTTCTGGTGGTAACACAAAACGTATGCTCTCACTTTCATTCCAGGTGATATAAGTGATCAGGACAATTAGAGAAAGTGAATCTCCCTAAGGACACCTAACAGACAGCAATTAAAGCCTCCAATGAAGAAAGAGAGCATCCAGTAGGAGCCGGAACTTTGATATGAGTTCATACAAAGTAGTGAGGACAAAAACATCCAGAGAACTCACTGGATTAGGTTAGGCTGCTACCAACAGACATGGCTACCCTCCTGTGGGTACCCAGCAATTTAGAAAAAAACTCAAAAGAGTTAACATTGATTTATTGTTTTACACTAAAAAGCATCCAATGCTATATTAATCCTGTATAATAATAATAATAATAATCTGCTTCAGGGGCTGGAACAAACTCCCCCTTCATCAGGGCTACAACAAAACACAATATAATATAAATTTCAACGTGATTGTTAAAATCATAAATATAGAGTTATTAGACCTATGGAAACCAGGAAAGCATACAGTAGTTCCTATTACATACAGCTTGGGGAGCATGAAGGCAATATAATTATTCAGGTTATTTTATGTATATATAAAGCTGAAAATAATTTTCATTTATGATAGAGGAGAGGAGGGTTAAAAGGGCTGTTCTTTTTTCCTCCATTTTTCCAATCTCATTATGGAGATTTCCTTTTACTTCCAGTCCTGTAGATTCAACTGGGAGTGAGAGGATATTTTTCCAATGTAATGGAACAGGTGTCCCCATTGAAATATTTCCTCTCTATTTCTGTTCTGGTGGTAACCGAAAAAATCATACCCTCATTTTCATTCCAGTTGACATTGGTGATCAGGACAATTAGAGAGATTGAATCTCCCTAAGGGTACCTAACAGACAGCAATAAAAGCCTCCAATGAAGAAAGATAGCATCCAGTAGGAACTGGGACTTTGATGTGAGTTCATACAAAGTAAAGAGGACAAAAACATCCAGAGAGCTCACCGGTTCAGGTTAGGTGGCTCACAACAGACAGAGCTACCCTTCTGTGGGTACTTAGTAATTTAGAAAAAAAAGTCAAAAGAGTTAAAATTGATTTATTGGTTTACACTAAAAAGTATCCAACATGTTTCAGGAGCTAAAACAAACTTCCCCTTCATCAGGGCTACAACAAAACACAATATAATATAAATTTGAATGTGACTGGTTTAATCATAGCTCTAAGGTTGTGAGACCTTATGGAAATCAGGAAAATATGGTTCCTATTTCATACAGCTTGGGGGACATGAAGGCAGTATAATTAGTCAGGTTTTTTAAGTATACATAAAGCTATTTTTTTTTCATTTATGATAGAGTAGATGAAGGTTAAAACAGCTGTTCTTTTTTTTTTCTATTTTACCAATCTTATTATGGAGATTTCTCTTTACTTCCTGTCCTGTAGACTCAACAGGGACAGAGGGGACATTTTTTCAAGGTGATGGAACAGGTGTCACCTTTGGAACATGTCCCCTCTAATTCCTGTTCTGGTGGCAACCGAAAATGTATACCCTCACTTTCATTCCAGGTGACATTGGTGATCATGACAAATATAGAGAGAGTTACTCTCCCTAACGAGGGCACAGACAGCAATAAAGGCCTTCAATGAAGAAAAATAGCATCCAACAGGAGCTGGGGCTTTGATGTGAGTTCATACAAAGTAGTGAGGATAAAAACAGTGAGCTCACTGGTTCAGGTTAGGTTGCTGACAACAGACAGGGTTGCCCTTCTGTGGGTACCCAGCAACTTAGAAAATAAAAGGGTCCATATGGATTTATTGGTTTACACTAAAAGGCATCCAATGGGTTCCGGGGCCAGAACAAACTCCCCCTTCATCAGGGATAAATCAAAACACAATATAATATAAATCTGAATGTGATTACTATAATCATGAGTCTAAGGTTGATAGACTTATGATTATACCAACTGCATTCATATTTATATTATATTGTGTTTTGTTGTAGCCCTGATGGACGGAGAGAGTTTTTCCTGCCCCCTGAAACACATTGGCTGTTTTTTTTTTTTTTTTTTTTTAACCATTAACTTTGCACTCTTCTACCATTTGATCTGGGGCTCCTTCTGTTGGTGCATGCTCAGCAATACAAACCTGATAGTAGTTCTAACCCTTCACCTCTCTATCCACATCTAAAAAAAATGTTCGCCTTTAGTTATGCTTTAAAATGAGACACAATGAGGTAGATTTACTAAAACCGATGCACTTAGAATCTGGTGGAGCTGTGCATGGTAGCCAATCAGCTTCTAACTTCAGCTTTTTCAACTAAGCTTTGGCAATAAAACACGGAAGTTGATTGGTTTCTATGCAGAGCTGCGCCAGATTTTGTACTTTCCAGTTGATAAATAAACCCCAAAGAGACATCTAATAACATATGAAGTATGCTATTTGTTTTGTAGTTTTAAACAGAGTATGGAAGGATTAAAACCCTATCAGATTATTATTGTTAATATATTATTATATATTTTTTTTCTTGCTGCCTTTGCCCTGTTTGGAAGATTTCACTTACCTTCCTGTCTTCAGCAGGAAGTGAGAGGAAGTCATTGAAAAAGTGAGTGGCATTCCAATTTTAGACAGTTGTCACCAGGATATTTATTCCCATTGGATGAATTCCCCGTATCTTCCTTCATTTTCTGTCCCAGTGACAGTGGTTACTAGGATAAATAGAGGGGAATCTCCTCATCAAGGACACAGACTATAAAAAATGCAAGGGTTTAACCCTTCCCCACACTATCTAAGGCTAACAAAAATGCCTTTAGACAAAAAGCAAAAAGCAGCACTCACAGGAGAATACACCTTAAATTAAATAGTGGAATCCAGATACAGGTGCTCAGTATCTATAGTGTTCTCCAGCCACTGGATACAATATACTGTATAGAAGTAGTGAGAGCCGGCAACTCCAAATTCCATATGAGAACTTTTATTATTTATACAGGAGTGACATAAAAAGCACACTGACGCATTTTAGCGAACAGCCTTTTTCACAACACTATGCTATTTAAAAAATATTAATTGGAGTTCATCTTTAATTCATTAGTCAACACATCTAAATCTGCTAGTGCATTTAGCTCTACATTCTCTCTCCAGAAGGACAATGCTGCTGTCCAAAGGTGTCTTTGATACACCTCCATGGAGTGGAGACACCCTAAGACAGAAAGTGCATTACTGGCAAGATCATCAGGTGAAAATTAAGGGGAAAAAAGCCTAAAAAAGAAAATGCAGCCACCACATTTAAGAATCAGTAAGCTGCAAAATATTACATTTTTGTTTTTGGGGTTGGGTACAGGTTAATGATTGGACCAGTTTAAGCGCATAAACAAAAACACAAAAAACTTAAAGGTGGTGTGTAGGGACATAGCACTGGATTTCTGTCTCTGATAGCATTGTTGCGGCAGAATAGAACAACAATTACTCTTCACATGTATTACCACTTTACAATATAGCACAGCTCAAGCTATTGACAGTGATGTATATATGGCATTTGTACTCCTCTTGAGATGATACAACACTGAGATGGTCTACCTGCCAACTGCTCCAGTGCTGAAAGTGTATGGCGTTTATTTACTAAAGCTGGAGAGTACAAAATCAGGCTCACTTCATCATAGAAACCAATCAGCTTCTAGTTTTCATTGCCAAAGCTTAATTGAACAAGCTGAGGTTAGAAACTGATTGGTTTCTATGCAGAAGTGAGCCTGATTTTGCACTCTCCAGCTTTAGTAAATAAACCCCTATGTGTTGTCTCCTGTCTGAGTACATATGAATACCAGACAAATTATATGAGCCCAACATCTGATATTCGTCTATAATAAAAATTGACAATGCCTTACAGAAGCTCTACTGTCTATTGTGACATGCAATATTTTTCCAAAGACTAAACTAGTCCATGTAAAGAGTGGTAACAATGGCACACCTGTGAATGTCATAATGACATGTCATAATTCATATACAGTATTAGAACAAAAAAAAGAAAAAATCCCCGCTGTTGACTACTATAGCCGTAATTACGCCGTAATCATCATCTCATCATTTCACTCACTAATTATGTTAATTATGTGCCAAATTTGTTAATTTTTTTAATGTGCTTTGCAATGGCCACTGACATAGCTGAATACAATGATTGTAGATAGCATCGTGATTCTAACTGTAGCAGTGAAAGCATTTGTTAACAAGCTATAATTATATTGAATCATTTTGTGTTTACACCAGGTAAAAGACTATTCTCTGCTGCAGTTGTGGCTGCTTGTGTATCTGTCTCTAATTGTCTTTGAATCAATATTGACACCATACAAATGTATCTCCTTCATTCATTCACCCTTTAGTGCCCACTCCAATCCAACCAGAAGATGGCAGTATAGACCATGGTATGGATGCTGCATTACATACTTAATATGTGTAATATCTGCCTGTTGGTCTATAAAATGCTATAAAGTGGTTCTAAAGGCAGGAGATTTCTTTTTTACCCTTAAAGTGGCCCTAAAGGCAGATTTTTTTTTTTGTTTTTTTTTTGTACCTTAACGTATTCTCATTACAGTAAGAAAAACCTTCTGCAAGTAGCTCCCCTCACACTTACTTGAGCCCTATCTCGAT